AGTATGTATCTTTCTTGTCTGTAGTGTTTAACTTATTAAACATTATTAGTACTGTACATACTAAACAGTGTTAGGCCGCTTGAAATTATAATTTCGTTTAACATTCCTTTCGAAGCTTAAGCATAGTGGGAGGTGGGTCAAATTAAACAAACATTATATAACATCTCAAAAAAATTTTGCATTTATGAGTTATTGGATGTAACAAACGTTCTGATTAGTTTGTTTGATTTCATAGGGAAGCTCTTGGAGGTGGTAGGAAAGAACGTAAAACGAAATTGTAATTTCAAACGGCCTTAGAAACATTTAATAATATTACTATTCAAGACGAATTTTTAATTAACTGCATAGTGTTAAATCAAGTGACTATTGCGCTACCTAGTTATTTTGAACCACGATCTCACGTCTTTTACTAAGCTAAATGTCAGTTATATTACTATTTTATCACTCGATATTAATTCTATCCCTTAAACCGTTTTTCAGGCAAATTTGCCTGTAAATTTCATTATTGATCTGTGATTAAGTTATCAAATTATATTGAATTGTAGTCTAAATCGTAGTAGATACGTAGTTAAATTGATGGTTTAAGTAATAAGCTTTATTTTTTATTAACCATTTAATTCAATTTTGTTTGACAGGTCACGACTGGGAATATTAGTAAAATCAATTTCTCGTAGTAATAGCATCTTTAGTCACGACTAATTGCCAATATTAATAGATTTAAAGTTAAGGTTGCTTTCAGCTCATTCGACTCTGCTCATTAAAGTCGGGTTAAACCATTAAAATCCTTATATTAGAATTAGATTGAGAAAGGTTAGAAGGACTTAAATAAAACCTATATCAAAATTATGAGCTGAATTTTTTTCTTAGGGCACCAAGAGCAGGTTCATAGTTAAAATTTTTGAAGTAGAAAATTTTTTTTAATTCTGTCGATCAACCTGTTACACATTTCGTTGTGTAATTCTTTACGCATTATCGTTACTGATAGAGGAAAAGCAGATGGTTAGCATTCATGAAATATGGTAAGTCTTTATACAATTTCTTTAGTAAATTGCTCAATTAAAATTTATGATTATTAAAAATAAGGTTATTTATAAAGTTTATAAAGGCATCTCTTGTGAAATTGTCATTATGCCACAGTGGTACAAATTTTTAGTAGAATCAAGTCTCAATTAAGCACAAGCCGTATCTGTATTATTTGTTTTTTTTTTTTTTAAAGCATTAAGTTTCATATTGTTAATATTGTTCCTGGTTTAAAAATATACAGGATTCGCATCTTGAACAATGTAACTTACGTTTGCGCTTATCCTATAGCATCGATTTTGAAAGAGCAAAATATAGTATATGTGCAAAGTTATTCTGGAAACTTGTAGCTGTATGGAATGACGATTAGTAAGCATGTAACTTTCGTAAGGACGAGATTCGAATGTTAATAGTAAAGAAATGAAGATTATGATAAGATACAAGAGAGAGGAACAAAAAAAAATTTTTAAGGAAAAAGATTTGAATACTGTAAGGGTGAATATATATTCGCTCCACAATCTGTGATAACTCGTGTAACCTACGAACGGGCTTAGTCGATAAGAAGCGGTTTTATTTGGTGAGTGGGGTTAAGGTCGTAGGTATGACTTCTTCAATCTACTTGCCTTAAACCTTTCGATACGACTTACTAACACACTAACTCTTGTATCTACTATCCACTATTACTATAACAAAATCATGGCTGTGACTTTCCTCTTGGACCTCAAATCGGAATACAACACCTACAACCGTCCACGGTACGTTGGGAGAGTTAAAAACAACCACATTAGTCCCAGTACATCAAGAATCAACCGGACCGAGTAATGGTATACTTTACGATATCACGTGAGCAAGAGCCATTGTTTTCTTCTAGGGTGAAACCCTTAATTATATACTTTCATTTACTTATAACACATTATGCATCTTATCTATGATATATTACTTATACTTATT